AAAGGGCAGGGAGGGCAGGGTAAAGATATATCTTGTAAATATTACATGAGCTGCTGCTAGGTATTCATCTCGCGAAATCTAATAACTTGTATTCGCGAATTTTCACGAATTGACCACCCCCACCCAGCACCCTCTCCCGTCTCCCCCTCACTCCACCCTCCCCCCACCGCAACCCCAACACCGCGCTCCATCCCGCCCCTCGTCTACCGCATCCACCATCCCTCCTCCCAAACCCGCTACTCCTTCTCCACCGGCTTCAGCGCAAAAAACCAAACCACGATCCTCGCCTTCAGCCCGCCGCTCCTGCGCTTCGGCCTCGCCCACCTCCACCAGCAAACCAACATCTCCTCACCCTTCATCAGCGTGTACGACGACCTAGCGCACGCAGAGCACGTGGCGCGCTGGATGGCCGCCGCGTGGGCAGAGGATGTGTGGATCGTTAGTGTGGATACAAACTATCTTGCTCGGGGCCCGGTGTTTCGGGCGGTGGATTTGTTGAGGGGGGAGGAAGGGGAGGAGAGGGGGAAGAGGGGGAAGGGCAGGGCGGGGAGGAGGGATAGTGCGAGGGGGGATGGGGGGGTGGGCGAGCTCGATGATGAGACGTTGCATCGAGGGGAGTATTTGGTCATGTATAGGATTCCGCCGCAGGCGGTTAGGGATCAGACGGTTGTTGCTAGGGGGGAGGGGCAGGGGTGGAGGGCGGTTGGAGGGATGGGTGGGTCGTGAGAGGGTGGAGGGAGGATAGGTGTTGGCTTGTGATGGTCATGGTGGTGGTGATGTTGTGGGTCTGTAGATCTTGAACCTGAGAGTAGAGCATCTCTTTTGATGTTTCATTCCTTGTGCTGATGCCGTTGAGAATTTTTGAAACCTAGGTAGTACCGTGCAGTAAGCTATCTCATCCTTGCATGAACAGTTCCGTTGAGCGAGCCCGTAAGGCTTGCGTGGCCTAGCACCATGTCTGTCTTTCCCACCAATCGCCATCCGATCCTCCTGTTCATACAAGACCCCTAACACTTCCTGCCTCTTTTCTCTACTGTACCTACACAGCACGTCATGACCCACCACACTCCCTTTACGACATACCACGGCGGAAAATATTCAAATGGATTGAACGGCTCCTCGACCTTTTCCGTTGAAGGTTCTGCATGTTCCTTTGCAGGTTTGAAGAGAGCTAGGCTTTGGGGTCGAGTTTTGTTGATGACACATTGCGGCGAATTTGTTGGGTGCAACGGTAGGCCGTCGCTTTGTCGAACCGATGTACGTAGCGAAACCAGACTATCGCTACTTTTGAATGCCGCGAGGCTATCGCGAGGGCGACGTGGGCTTTTCCATGACTGCGATGAGGGGGGCGGGCTATGCCAAATTGACGAGGGCGATGCTGAACCAGTGCTCAGAAGAGAAGAACCAGAGCTGGAGTCAGACCTCCGTAGAGAAAGTCTGCTGTTGCATTTCTTGGAGTGTCGTGTGCGGGGAAAAAACTTAATCTGGTGCGATGGTTTGCTGCTGCGTGGAGACATGTTGGAGCCAGCGAGGATCTACGTTCGACTGGATTCGATTGTAGGGAGCGAGGTCGATGTGGGAGATTCTCATCTGCGACGTGATGCAGTATTCTGTCCAAGATATGAAAGACTTTCGATGTGGTGGTGGCTGTGAACTGTACAAGTATGAAGATGAGCTGGAATAGGGTCTTTGTAATGTACCTGGAAGTCTGTGATTAGTTGGGACGTTACTGTTCCGGACATGAATACTGCAATATATCTCATAAAGACTTTAGAGTCGAGTTCTTGGTTGGAGGTATGCAGGTCGAATATTGCTATGAACTTGGGCGCCGTTCCGTATCAAAGGTCATGTGCATGACCATTCATGTGGCCACCCAAAGCAGCTGGCTATGCTTATCAAGAATGACATCCGTCTTCAGCGATGCTAGCCGAGCCTCGTGTATATCTTCCAAACACTACTTCTCCCAAAAGCACAGCCCCTGTAACAGCGAATAGGAACCCAATGTTGTAAGTCATAACCGCGAGCATTCTATCATGTTATTAGCGCCACACTATCCTTTTGTACATGGTGTTAGATGCAACATACAACACGTAGCCAATCAGTGCACGGGTGAATTCTAGACACGCCCTGATACCGTCTTTCTTAGCACTCCATGGCGCGCTAGCCACCCAAAACTGGCGGGTGACAGCCGATGATTTGGCCATCTCAGCCGAAGATTGTGTTGTCGGTGTGAGAGGCTGGGTCTCCTGTCCATCCTGATCCTCAAGTCGTACGGGAGGCTGCTGCCGTCGAAGTGCGAGACTCCACTGTCGTGCATGATCGGGGACAGTCTTTGGTGTGATCTTCTCCTGTGTTTCAATAGCCTTGGCCAATTCGAGTTGTGTTTTCCACTTCATCTCCAGTTGGGACTTGAGTGCTCCGAGAAAGCGGTTCAGCATACCCAGGGCGAAAAGGAAGAATATAGTGAGTACGTAGGTTGCTGTAGAAGTCGTAGTCCACTCGCTGACCCAAAGCGTGACGCGTGTACTCGAAGAAAACGTAGAAGACATGCCTGACATGCTGTCCATGGAGGATTCTGCGGCGAGAGAGCCAGAGGCTGAGGCTGGCATACCACCCATAGGCGAGCTTGGGGAGTTCATGTCCATGTTCATGGTCATTGCTCAGTTACGGATCTGCTATGACGATGACGGATGATAGGTTGCGAACAGACCCAACGGGGATATTCTCGGGCCACGTTTAGGAGATTGACCGAACAGTCGTATTCTTGAAAGTAGAGACTAAAGTAAAGGAAGTGAAATTGTCGAGCTCTAGGTGTTGAACTTCAAGCGCTGGACAGCTGTCAGAAGCAGGACAACAAATGTCTGAACGAAGGAAGACCAGCGGCATGATTATAGTTTGCTCCAAACAAAACGATTCATCGGGCCAAGCATCATGGGTACCCTGGTGAGCAAGTTTAACGGATAAAGTAGCGCAGTGGGCTGTTGGGAGTAGGATATGCTTGTTAAAATGGAGAGAAAGGGAACTCGTAGACAGGTAGGTTGTGGGACAATACAGTCTCGTGGTTAGCACTTGGATTCATTGTCATCTTTTCGCCCTGGATGAGGTGGTGTGTTGTAAATCGCGAGAAGCCCTCCCCACGTGTGTAAGCTAACACGAGGGGTCTGGGGGTTACTAATTTGGGAATCTGCCAAGAAGAGACTGTGGGTAAAGATCACGTGTCAACGCGACCGCGGGAACGCGCGTCGCCTCGGCGCCGATGCCACGCTTTCACATCATCTCTCACAGCTACTACGTTACGACACATGAACATAGTATTCACAAATTCCGTCTGTTCTTACTTGGGATAACAGATGTTGCTACTAAAGACAAAGCACAGTTTTCCTGCTTGTGTACGCAACGCCCTTGGATCGTCAGCGGCTTCGTGTGCTTACCTAGCCACTCCATTTCCCCCTTACGCGCCATCATAGGCTTACAACGATGCCACCAAGCCCGATGAGCTCCGAGTTCCCAGCGCAAGCATTTCCACGCCCTGCTCAACTTGAAGCCTTTTTAGAACGTGAAGACCCAGATGGTCCAGACGTAAAGCTTGCCAAGAAGGGCTCCGGTATCCCTTCCCCCATCAGCAGCCGAAGCAGTGGAAGTCGCGCTTTGTCATGGCTGGATTGATGGCTGTGCCGGCTCTATCGATGATAATCGGTGGACGGCACGCTACACATGACAGCGGGCCAAGAGTATATGGTCTCAGAAGAACGTTGACACGATATCGCGACTGATCAAAGACGGTCGAATCCGTCCTGCAGGGCTGGCAGTAGTTGAAGCTGCGAAAGTAGATTGGAGATGGGACCGTGCCTATGCAGGGCCTGGAATGATTACGGTGCCCAAAGATCTCACTATCGCGCTTGCCGAAATGCCCCCCGCAAAGGCGTCGTGGGATCATTTGAACAAGAGCGAGAGGTATGTAGCGCTGTGGAAGATAGAGACGGCTTCAGATGCTCCCAGGGCAAAGAGAATAAAGTCAATCGTGCAATCGCTTGCTTCTGGTCAACGTCCAGGTGGGAAATCCTAGGTGGCAGCTCAGAAGGCCACATCTAAACGTACCGGGAGCGTCCAGAAAGCCACCACGAGGTTTCCTTGTAGTGAGTAAAGAGTATCCTCAGGTGTAGAATTTTCACGTTAAAAAAGACATAGGTCTACCGCTTGGTTAGGATCAGTCCACTGACTGAAGGTGTACTGGCAGACACAATCTGTTATTTTGACGCCCAAACTGGACAACATACAACATGGATAATGACGGTCCCATACGGCTTTGGACATGAAACAAGATCTACAAGATACATGCGCGCGTACGCCGTCGACGTCAACCTTTGTGGTTGCTCAGCTCTCCTGCGATTCAAGGAACAGTGGCTCACAAGCTCAAAAATCTCCAGGGGGGGGGGGGGGGGGGGCAGGGACAGGGAGCCCAAGGAGAGCGGACAACAGGATATGTACCACGTCGAGTCTGACGGCAGATCGCTTTCCCATCGGCGTAATAAATTTCGCAAGACCAGACTGGATGTGATGAGTATGACCGATGATGAAGACTCGCTCGCATCGCGTGCATGAAAAGGAGTGCGTGATTAAGGACGCTATTCATTGCTGATGGCCTCAATACGGATAGCGAAAGCCAGAAAGACATCACATTCACTTTTTTATCCTTTGACTGTAACGAGTTATTCCTGTGCATCCTAGAGTACAGGATGGAATTGACAACAAAAATAGGGTGGTACTATGTATGTCAGTCGTTCTACGGTAGGAACATGGTAGTAAGTCCCTGACAGTGACAGAGTGACAGTTGTGTAAATTGGGTAGACCTAGCTGGTGGGAAAAGTCCTACTTGATCTTGCTATACAAGCACAGCCCATCTTTATGGCGTACCAGTACCCACACGGCCGTGACAATGACCATGACTATTCCTTAAAGTATAATCGCACAACATACACCACCGGTACAGTATCCGACGGGCGCTGGGTTGGCGGCAGGTGATGCGGAATGGGGAAATGGCAGCAGTACAGTGATCGACAGAGAGCACGGGAAAAGAATCCATGAAAGCATCGTACCTTGTACTTCTTGTACACATGTCACATCGACGTGGGCTCTCTCAGGGGGCGCTGCACAGGTTATCGGTAAGAGCGTGTGGAGGCACGTGCACATCGGGCCGCCGGAAGCTTGGAAGAACATTGAAAAGGAAGGGAAGGTCTGGAGTCGCGACACGGCGAATTCCACTACACATTGGTATTACACATGGCTCGACGATGCGCGCAAGTTGCGCCGTGCTGCTCTTGTGTGGCGCTGGCCCATGATTTGCTCCAGGTGAGGCCCGAGGGATGCATTGCATCGAGGGCGCAGTTCATATAACCATGGAATTAGCGCTGCGTGAACTCGTATTTAGCATGGGGTTAGGCCGTGCCAAGCTCTACTAGCTAGCTAAGCGAGGTTAACTAAATATTATGCTGTAAGATTTTGCAACGCGTTCTAAACCTGTTCTAAATATATTCTATACTAGTAATACTATAAGCCGCTACTGCTATGCCTATTACTAACACATCCCTCTTATCCTACGTAAGTAGATTAAAACGTGTTTAGAACATATTCTTAATAGGTTACAGAAGCACTATTAATAGTACCTTACCCTTAGCCACGTCCTAGATAATATTAGGGCATAGCCTATAGTTAGCCCTAATAGGGCAGTTAAGATAGAGAGTAGAGAGCGCTACTACTATACTAAGATTAATAATAAGGGCACCTTATATAGAGTAAGAATAGGTTCTAAACGTGTTCTAAATAGGTTCTAATTAGCTTTCTTAGGCTATATCTCAGGTACTAGGGGCACTCTATATACCTATGCTAAAAAAGATTATAGGCTTAATATAGCCTACTATAAGGTTAGTAGGGTTAAGAAGACTAGCTAGCCCTCTATAATAGAGGTCCGCAAGGCAAAGAGTAAATATATTATTAACCTATTCTTAACTTGTTATACTAATATATATAGACTTCTATATAAAGGTTATATATAATTATTAGAATACTCCTTGCTATAAGTTATTTAGAATATATTTAAAACTTGTTACTAATATATTTTATAGAAGTTCTCTAAGCCTAGCTAGTAGCTGCTATAGGCCCCCCTATAAATACTAATACCCTCCTAAATATAATTTAGAAGAAGACTTATAGTAGCTATAATAGTAATAAGGTATAGCCTGCAAGAACCTGTTAAAAACACGTTGCTAACTTGTTATAGCTTAACTTTATTGCTATATCTACCCTACTAAGAATTTAAGGTTATTAGGTTCCTTATACTATCTACGCTTATAATTATCCTAGCTATAGTAAGTTGTTTACAACATATTATTAACCTATTCCTAACGTGTTTTAAGACTGTTACTTTAATACTAGTGTAGACCTTGCTAATTCCTGCTAGAATACTACCTAGTTCCACTTGCAGTATGCTTTTATAGAGCCTAGGGAGGATAGAGAAGATACTAGAGAGGGGGAGGGAGATAATAATAGTAATAAGTAAGAATACGTTAAGAATATATTAAGAATAGGTTCTAATAAATAATATACAATAGTATATAACCTAAAGGGGTAGTAGTAATTACTAAAATAAACTCTCTACTCTTCTCTTTTTTTTTCTATCTACTAAAAGTAAAGTACTATTTACTTTTATAGGGTCCTTTAATAGTATATAACTTTTTCTTTTAACTTTTATAGGTATTATAAAGCTCTAGCAGTCCCTTAGATTAAAGAAGAATCTAGCATTTATAGGTGTCTAGCTATAACGTATTATTAATATGTTCTAAACGTGTTTTAAGAGACTAGACTTATATCTCCTTTTTGCTACTTTTACTAAATATTATTTATAGTGTAAAGGGGAGCAACTATTTGCTCCTCTTCTTTACTCTCTACTTCCTCTTTAGCCTCTACTCTAGCTACCACTTCTTATTATAGACTAGCTATCTTAGAGGGTTCTTAAACCTTAGAGGAGGCACTTAGTATAGTCTGCTCTACTAGTAGAGAACGTATTATTAACGTGTTTAGAATATGTTCTTAAGCATTTACTATTAAGCTCCTATAGAAGATCCTTGCTTCTATAGTGCCTTATATTATAGTTCTGCCACAGTTTACTAGGGCTATTTAAACCTTAGGATAATACCTCTTAAGGTAGTAGATAAGATTGCCTCTATTAGAGAAGCAACGCTAAAATAGTTATTAACATATTATAAACGTGTTCTAACTTGCATATATATATACTCTACAAAGTTCCTATACCCCTAATCTAGCCTAAATAGCCTAGCAGAAAAGCTCGCTAGGAAATACTATATACCTATTATTTAGGTAGGATATTATAGGAGAGAATGCCCTAGTATTAGATAGAAGTAACTTAAGCTTAATATATCGCTAGTATAAATCCTACTTAGTATTAGAACAAGTTTATAACGTGTTCCTAACGCGTTCTATTATATACTAACTTTAAAAGATCTTTATAGACTATATTAACTAGTTATATCTAATAATATTAGGAAAGATAGATAGTAAAATAGTATTAAACTCTTAAATATAAAAAGTTCTTATAGAGTGTAAGAAGAAAGAAGAAGAAAGAGAAGAAGAAAGAATATATATTTATCTGCTTATATGTGCTTACGTAATAGACTAGAATATATTAAGAACTAGTTAGGAACTAGTTACTATATTTATAGACTAACCCTACCTTGTATAAAAAGTAGCTATCTCTTTCTTAAGTTTAAACTGTGCCTTTTGCAATTTAAACAGTGCCTTTTTCTATGTAAGTTCTTCCTTATCTACCTCTAGCTTTTCTTTTCTCTCCTTTAGAGCCTAATTACTAAGAAGAGCCTTTTATTACAAAGTTTATAGTTATAGACTAATAACAAGTTAGGAATATATTATAAACGTGTTTTGCAAAGCATACCTTTAGGTTACTATTAGTAGAGGAGAAGAGCCTAGTAGTAGAGAAGATAGAAAAGGGGCTAGTGAACTTCTTTCTAATACCACTCTACTACTTGCCCTCTAGCTTTAGGCTTTTAAGCGTGCTCTTTTATTTCTTATTAGGACTAAGATATATCTAGTTAAGTTAGATATAGCAAGACTTGCTTTATTATTATCTAGAGTGTTGTTATTATTATAGGACGCGTTCTAAACACGTTCTAAATACGTTTTAATTAGCAAATATGCATAACGCTAGCGTAAGACTTACTTTCTCCCCTCTAAAGCTTTTTAAGGTACCTTTACTTAAGCCTATTAGGAGTTCTATAGTTATAGCGTATTCTAAACTTACTCTAGGCTTTAAACTCTTTTATATCCTGCAGATCTATCTAGTGTGCACTATACAATATTACTTATACAATTCTAACAGGTTAAGAATAGGTTATAAACTTACTTCTAAGTAGCCTTAAGAATACTTATATACTTACTAGTTTTATATCCTTTCTAGCCTGCTTACTTAGCTATATTTAAATAAGATTCTAGTTTTTCCTATACCTCTTTTAACATTTTACTATAGTATTGCATAATCCTAGTAGTAATTACTAGGTTTTTCTTATAGATTGCCTAGTTTTAGGTATCTTTAGAGGGTTTATATTCTAATTATGTAAGAACAAGTTAGGAACACGTTTAGAACAGGTTTAGAATATGTTTACTTATATAAGAGGAGGTTAGCAAGCTAAAAGTATTCCTCTGCTATTAATGCCTATAGTAATTCACTTAGATATAAAGAGGTAGTATTATCTAGCTCTCTTTTACATGCTTTATAAATACTTCTTTATAGATATACTTAACAAAATCTTATATAAGATTAAAGTTGCTAGCGCTAGTTACGCTTATAGGGATTAATTAACTAGAGATAGCGCCTAAGTCCTAGAAACAAGTTAGAAACACGTTACAAACATGTTGCGGTGCGCTATAAAACTTACCTATTATCTACTTATTATACATATTAATAGTAGTCCTATAGAATCCCTATAAGTAAATATGCCTCTATAATACTTATCTTTTTATAAGTGCTTTATACTTCTAAAAGAAGTTAGTAATAGCAACTTAATATATCTTAGTTATATCCTTATCTATAATAATTTAGCTAAGTGTAATAACTATAACATGTTAGAAATGTGTTATAAACCTGTTCTTAATGCGTACGCTTCTTTTCCTATAGGTAGAAGATTACTATTAGAATCTCTACCTATGCCCTATATAACCTCTTATATAATATATCTATCTAGAATATGTCTTAATCTAATAGAATTAATGCCTACTCTTTAAAAAGGCAAATAATTAAGTTGCCTAAGCTTAATATAAAGATTTGCTATATATACGCCTGTAGTAACGTGTTAATAATGTGTTCTAAACCTGTTCTCTTATACCACGTATAGTTTTAGGATCCTAATGCTTTATCCTCTACTTATAGTGTACTCCTCTAAGGCTACTCTTAAATAGGAACTATAGAAGCTTTTCACGCTTTATAATACGCGAGATTTTATCTTTATTTGCGAAGCTAATATACATTTCTTTAATAAAATAGAAACCTTTAAGTTAGAGATAGGTTTAGAGCTAGGTTAAGTTTAGGAACTAGGCTGTAACAAGTTAGGAACATATTTATAATAGGTTATAAATAACTTATATTACGTAAGCTATAGAGTAAGCATAGGCTATAACACCTTTACTACTTCCTTAATATTACTATTAGATAGTGTTAAGGGAGGAGGAGGTATATATATATATATACTAAAAGAAATAATAGTAAAAAAAGGTATTACTACTATATCTATTAGTATAATTACTTAGAAGGTAACTTTATATAGGATTTTAAACAGAGATCCTTACCCTTATAGATAATTAACGCCTAGAATATATTAGGAACATGTTAGGAATAGGTTGTAATATGCCTACCACACTTCTTTATCTAGCTTAACTGTGGCTTAACCACAGAATATAAAGCAGGACTACTAGAAAGATTTAATATCTCCCTAGTTAGAAGACCTTGTAGATATGTAGAGTCTACCTCTAGTAGTACCTAACTAAAATAATATTTTTTCCTAGTAGCAGATATTAGGCTATAGTTCTAATAGCTAATATATAGTTAAGCCTGTTCTACAATTTGCTAACTTATTATTAACACGTTTTAAATATGTTTAAGTTTTGCTCCCTACCTAATTTACTATAGTCCTTATTATAGGATAATAAGACACCTAGTAGTCCTTACAAATCCTTAAAGAGAAGCACTTAATAAGGCTATAATAATAGCTTCTTATTTGTAGTTCTCTTTATAGAATTTTCTTAGGTACTACACTTTTTAAGGTTTAGATCTAATTATATAATACGTTATTAATAACGTAATAAGAATATGTTTATAACGTGTTCTTAAGATACTTACACGCTTTTACCTTAGAGTATTAGTATTTATACTAGCTTGCTAGCTAGCTATTAAAGAATAGTAAAGTTGTAGGCCTGTTAAGATAGATAGACTAGTAGGAGTATTATACCTGCTAGAATTAGAACAATTTAAGAACGTGTTCTTAACGTATTACCTGTGTAGCCTGTATAAGTACCTCTTCTCTTATTAGGTAAGAGCTATCTTTATATTGCTAAACTAGTATTATATACCTATACCCTTAGCTATATAATTAAGGGTATACTAGGAGAATAGCTGTATGCTTAATAATTACTAGTGTAAGTAGTGGTCCTTAACTATTACTATAAGTAAGGTATATATTGTGCCCCTATAATGTGTTACTAACCTATTCTAAACTTATTCTATTTACTTTTACTTACTTCCTTAACGCTACTACTACTATCCTCCTCTAGCACTTTATACAGTTACCTAAATTTATCTCTAATATTACTATCTAGTTTAGATATATTGTCTAGTACTACTGTACTAAACTCTAGTATAGTATTTAGGAACGCCTGTATATTATTAAGAATAGGTTTAGAACACGTTTAAAAAAGATAGTAATAAAAACTGCGTTTACTTGCTTAAATTACCCTAATTTATACTTGACTATAGGCTAGTTTATATAACCATGAAAATTTGCCGCTGTGACGTGGACTTGAACCTACAGGGATATTCTAACCACTTGGAGTAAAGCCCAAGTCGCCCGACGCTAAACCCATGGTCATATGACATGCCACCACCATTGCATCCTTTGATGCCTTTGATTCCTTTGCATGCTTTCGATCCCTTTGCATCCTTTCCACCGCACAGTTCAACCGTTGTCATGGCGGTTTGGAGTCCGCTGGGCGTCTCGACTACCTGGTACCCACCTACAATACGTGACTGACTTGTGGTAATGGCGGGGTGCATTGGTCTCGCGAAGCTTTGGGACTGCACTTGGTTCCTCCATGTTCATGTTGGCCAGGTAGGTATCACACAGTTGCGCCATGTTTCAACAGCACAACTACCAGGATGGCTGGGCTGTCCTCGACTTCCGACCGGGTTGTAGTGTGTAAGTGAACTGTAGATGGAGACACAGGTAGCGTATGGGTGTACATATCACGTCGGCAGAGCAGGTACACAGTACATACAGGTGCCAGGTCGAGGTCTTGGGCCAAGGCGGCGGGAGATGTACAATTACATTCGAGCCACCAATCGGGCATCCAGTTGCCCCTGGTACCAGTATTGCGCCCATTTGCGCGACATGCGGCCTGGGGACGGGGGGCCAGGCTGATGGATGTCTCACTGTCTCGGTGTCTCACTTGTCTCACTGTCTATGGTCATGCCCAGCCCCAGATACTATACAACACACGGATGCTGTGTCTGTACATACCATGTACCTAGAGTAGAGGCTGGCGGAATCGGGGGCCGACGTCAGATGTCTCCAAGGCAGGGCATCAATTTGTTGCAGCGCATTAGACGGGTATATCATCCTGTAGCTATCATACAAGTCTTGCTATCAACCACGGGTAACATGGGCCTGGGATACCTGATGTATGCCGCGAGGTACTGGCAAATTATACGAGGCCACGCTCCAAGCACATACAGAAGGGATGCTGCCGCCGCAGGAGGGCGCAGTCACCAGTGGAGAGTGGAGTTCGTTATGTATCAACAAAATCTCTTCTGCCAGTGCAGACTGCTGTGCGGAGCACCACACGACATAAACGTTTACCGTACTACATGCCCTACCGGTAGCTATCTAGAGTACCAAGCACATTGCCCAACGGCGTCTGCACAACCCCATGTCTCTGCCACTTTGACACAAGGCGATCGTCTGCTGAAACGCGCACACATTGCCATCCGTCTCCCTCACGCCGCCGTGCAAGAGCAAGCAAGCAAGTAAGCAAGCCACACCCCCCAAAGCAAGCTGCAAGCCAGCGGCCAGCCCCCAACCCCGCTTATCCACTAAGCTTTTGGGCGAATCATTCTCGAGACGACATCTCCCGCCCTTGGGATCAATCCCATCCATCCATCAGGGGGCATCCTTTGCAATTGCACCGCCAGTAAACCCCCGGACACAGCCTTGCTGGGAAGCAGCGCGCACGACTACTAGTACACCCGTACACCTACACCACCCTTTACCGACTGCTCGTGATGCTCGCTCGCCGTCGCTGTCCCCCAAGATAGCCCGTCACGTCTGGTGCCATGCCGAGTTGGCGCCCGCTCCCGCGCATCGCGTTCGCAATCTGCACCTATCCATTCCAGCCCTCGTCGCCTGCCGACCTCCCCCTCGAGATTGGCGACGAACTGTATGTCATTGAGCAGGGCGGCAAAGATGGCGCCTGGTATCGCGGCTATCTCGTTGCGCCGCCCTCGCTGCTGGCCGGCTTGACCAGCGTCAAGGGCCAGACACTCGAGGCCCGTGTCTTCTCTGGTATTTTCCCACGCGTCTGTGTCGAGGTGCGTGAGGTCTTGGGCGAGGCCAGAGACACAGCTGCCCTCGACGGCGCGCTTGCAGCATCTGGTGAGATAGGCACAGGCGCAACAGGCACAACAGGCACAGGCATAGGCACAACAGGCACAGGCTCAACAACACGCAATCCCCCTCCATGCGGCGAGCAGCACCCAACCAACGGCGTCGTCACCCCCACCGAATCCACACGCACCACCTCCTTCACCACCACCACCAAAGACCGTGGCTCCGGCCTCAATGCTCCTCCTCGAACCTCCCAGACCGATATCGTCTCGGCCCTTCCACTGTCCACCGCTCGCCCCCTCTCGCGCCGCAGATCTAACAGGAAGCGTGCCGGCAGCACCAATTCGCAATGGACCGCCCGCGAAGAACATCTCCAGCAGCTGACCCTTCCGCTCTCGCCCATATCAGATCCCAACGCTCCGCGCCCGCCTGCACCCGTCCCCATGCTCAAGATTGGCGACGAAACGCCCACCTCTGCCCAGGAACCTCTAGTCGACGAGATTGCTTCGTGCCTGCGCGAATGGCACTCTACAAAGGTCCACGAGCTGCTGCTTGCACGCAAGTACGGCTCGTTGGACAAGATGACTCGCCTGGTCGATCGCCTGGACACGGCCCGCCGCCAGCTATTGCACAAGGTGCTCACCGCACAGGAGCTGGACAAGGTGCGCGAGGCCACGGTCTGGGACTTGGTGACAGGCAACAAGATGCTTTGTGGAGAGGTCATTGTACGGAATCCCGCACAGCATGGCCGCATTCTCACGGGCGACGACTCTGCCATTGAGGTCACCAAACTGCAGTCGATGATGAGTCTCCTCGAGAGCAAACCCACGCCGCACGTCGACGAGCACAATTTACACCACCTGCTTGTCGGCCTGAAGCATGTCGATGGCGACGTTGTGCCAGGAGCGGCACAAGTCAGCATGCATCTCTGCTTGAAAACCCCTGGATCCCAACCGATACCACTCTCGGAGGCATTTACATTCGACCTCACTGGACGAGATGGCTCACCTGTGTCTTTGGCTAGCGAGAAATTGCGCTCTTTACTGGTGGACCTCAGCTCGACTGACATAGGGGAAGGTGCTGGATCCGGTTCAGTTCTGTGTCTCGTGTTTAAATTGATGACTAACGAACCCTTGCGGTTGGGAAGCGCAATGGAAAAGTCAAATGTTGCCAGGGATACGCCCAACTCGCAACTGTCTCGTCATGGAAGCGTTCAAGGTGGAAGGCGCAGCGCAATGTTTGGAACCAGGTCACGGAAAGAATCGACTGCAGGCCGCGCAGACTCGTCAGACGGACGACGCCCAAGCTCTGACCTTACACGATCACAGGGCTCCGATCCACGACCAGGCTCTTCTGCCACCAGAGCCAGAGCTCAATCGAGGGACCAAAGGCACTTGAAAAGATCTATTGCTGTTGGCATGCTACGAGTAAATCAGCTATGTCAAGCCCAATCAGAGGCTGACCAGACTATAGCTCTGTGGTGCACAGCCAGCACCAATGAAGAAATTACAGACGACGATAGTGGATGGGATGATCTGCTACCAGAAGTGTTCCCCAATCCAACGGGCAGATACAAGCGTAATGCACCCATCACACAACTTACAGTACACCTGAAAGCATTTGTCCATCCAGATGCCGAAGGCTTGATCCAAAAGACGCCAACTTTGCTTCACAACATCAAGCAGACTCGGAAGATTGGCTTCTCCGGAGCGCCAACGAAACCTCGAAGCGACATCTACCTGACCCTGGTCGAACCTTTTCTTCCCAGAAACGCTTTCTTGGCCCATCCCAAGACGGGGACCGTTCCCCTTGTGCAGTCGTCCCCAATGAGCAATCTGCAACTGACCATAGAGGTCCGAAAGAGCTCTGGAGAACGTATTGAGGGCTGCATATACCCCTCGACCAACAGTGTTGGACACACGGCCTGGCGAACCCCTGCTGTTGAACGGGGTGAGGGTTGGAATTCGACCATTCGACTTGCCATTGATCCTCAGGATGTACCTGGTTCACATCTGGTCATGTCCATCGCAGACGCGCCAGGATTTCCTTTTGCGCTATGCTGGATGCCTCTCTGGACACAGGATGCTTTTACTCGCGACGGTGACCATGCCTTGTCATTATATCGATATGATGAGTACACTTCGGGCATGATCGCCGGCAAAGGTGCTTACCTGGGTCTCCCATGGAGTGCAAAGAGGAAAGATGAACACGTCATGGGGCCCATGGCTGCGGTACATCTCAAGACTTTCCTGTGTAGTACAAAGTACTCTCAAGATCCAACTATTCTTGGCCTCATCAAGTGGCAAGACCAGCCTCCAGGAGAGATTGTTGGTATCTTGAAGCGGTTCAACTTCGTTCCAGAAATCGAAATCGTCAAACTATTGGACGTCGTGTTCGATGCTCTCTTTGCTATCCAGAGCCATTACGCCGGCAGCGATGAATACGAAGATCTCATTTTTCACGCCATCGTTATCGTCCTCGGCATCGTGCACGATCGTCGCTTCAATCTGGAACCGTTGGTCGACCAATACGCGCGAACAAAGGTCTTCCACGCCTTGGTCACGTCCTGCCTCATGCAGAGCTATGGCCGCTTGTTGGCGAAACCCACTGATTCAGAGAGCTCTCGACGATTGCGTGCAACTTTCAAGGTCGGAAAGCTCATCATGAAGTTTCTGGTCAACGCTCGGGAGAAGCAAAAGGCCAAGGAAGAGAGTATCGGTATCAAGGACCGCACTCAGTTCAGCAAGGAAGTCAAAGTTCTATTCAGCTCATTGGAAGCTTTGATGCAGAAGCCCTCACCTGTACTCATCGGTACCAAAACATTGCTGGTACAGAATATTGCCTCCTGGCTCCCCGAATTGGACGCCTGCATGCCCGCCAAGGAGGTCTTCTCTCTTGCAGCCAGCTTTGTAGAATCGTGCTCTAGCGCTCAAGGAAAGCTGATTCTGTACAAACTGGTGCTGATTCACCAGCTTTCCAACCTCCAGATATTTAGGACGCCCGAAGTTCGTCGTACGCTGTTGACCAAAACGGTTCAATGGCTGGAACCCTACTGGGGCAAGATTGAGGAAGTGACGGATCAGTGGAAGGATCAAGTGCGCCTTTGCTGTTCAGTAGTCGCCTCTCAGGTAGAAGAGCTTGGCCAAGAAGCATGTGATTACATGCCAAAGCTCGTGGAATCATATCGCGCGATACAAGCCACGCCTCGACCAGCCAAGAAGACGTTATCCTTGCTCTTTCCCTCGACCTACCCGTTCCAGTCGAAAGCAGCATCTTCCGAAGCGCCTTTCGATGAAGCGATGGCTGAGATCTCGGCCGTCCTCGCAGCTTTGTCCAGCCTGCCAACTTTGATACACCTCGATTTGCCCAAGGACGAGCAAGCGCAATTTCTCTTCTCTGTTCTACAGACCTACATATCGATTCTCGACTGTGAAGCCTACCCAAGTTCGTGGCTGAGTGTACACATCTACCATCACAAAGCAACAATGCGCGCTCTCGAAAAGTTGTTCAACATTCTCCTCGACTCCTTCCTACCTCTCCCCGATGAAGCCGACGGTTTCAATACTGAGCTGTGGCGAGCCTTCTTCGATGCGTTGCTAAAGCTCGTAGGCAGCGGTGCCCTTGCCCTGGAGACATTCCCAGAGCAGAAGCGACGAGCTGTCTGGAAAATTGCCGGTGACGTTCGCGAGCATGGTGCTGAGCTACTGCAACGGAGTTGGGAAGCCATTGGTTGGGAGTCGAGTGCAGAAGAAAAGAGCCAGTACGGAATTGAGAAGATGGGCGGCTTCCAAGTACAGTATGTTCCGGGCTTAGTCGCGCCCATCGTCGAGCTGTGTCTCAGCGTACACGAGGGTCTCCGCAGTGTGGCAATCGAGGTCTTGCAGACTATGATTATCAGCGAATGGACCTTGAGCGAGGATCTTTCCATCATTCAAGCTGAGATGATTGACTGTCTGGACAACCTGTTCAAGACCAAGCATCTCACAGAGGCCGTGTCACAAAAACACTTTATCCAGGAGCTTGTGGAATTATTCGAACCGCTTGTGCACGTACCGGAAGAACCATTACTCGCAGCGCTCAAAAATCTCATCGCCACCATCGACGAGCTACTGGATCTCCTTGTCGCTGTCCACAGTACAGAGGCCACTGGCGAGGTCTTCCACATCATGGACACATTGCACTTGATGGAGTTCCTGAAGGACATGCAGAAGGAAGATATCTACATTCGCTACGTTCATCAATTGGTCGACATACAGCTCGATGCGCAAAATTACACCGAAGCAGGTCTCGCACTTCGCCTACACGCTGAACTCTACGAGTGGGACCCAAATGTCACTGTCGATCCGTTGACCGAGCCCAGTTTCCCCCCTCAAGCTGCTTTCGAGCGCAAGGAGCAGTTGTACTTCCAAATGATCGACCACTACGAGAATGGACAGTCTTGGGACAATGCACTCGCGGCTTACATGGAGCTAGCAACACAATATGAGCACAACATATTTGATTTCGCGAAGCTGGCACGTACTCAGCACGCCATGGCCAATATCCATGAGAGTATTGCAAAGGGAGATCGCTCCAATCCACGCTACTTCAGGGTGGTGTACAAGGGATTGGGATTTCCTCCCGGGCTCAGAGACAAACAATTCATCTTTGAAGGCTCTGCCAATGATCGCCTCGCATCCTTTACCGATCGGATGCAGCAACAGCACCCGTCGGCCCAAATTCTCAATCAAGGAGCCGAGCAGGATTTGGAGGGTCAATACCTGCAAATCTTCCCCGTCAGTCCGCAGAAGGATCTCACACATCCCATCTACCAACGTGCCAAAGTGTCACAATCTGTCAAGGACTACTACCTCCTCTCCCGCCCTTCGCACTTCACATCAACCTCGCGCCGTCCCCAGGGCGCGAATGCGACCAAGGACGCTACAGTCGAAAAGACTGTATTTACCACAGCCGAGACATTTCCCACCATATTACGGAGAAGTGAGGTAGTGGCTGTGGGCACAATTGCTTTAAGCCCATTGCAAAATGCAATTGAGCGAACGTCACGCAAGACGATAGAGCTGCTTGCCATTGAAAAGCGTATAACAGATGGCGACGACACGACATTTAACATGTTGACACAAGAGCTCATGTACGCAGTCGATACTCACACTGAAAATAGTGTCGCTAGGTACCACGAGCTGCTTCCAGAGCCAGCTGCTGCAGAGGAGGAAGAAGAGGATGAACATCCACGACAACCAAACCCACTTGAAAACGCGCTAAGGTTTGCTTTGATCGATTATGCTTTAGTCATACGCCGTTGTTTGGGTCTCTACGTACGGCCTGCCCAACAGGCTACTAAAGGGGACCTTACACAGCGTATGTGTATATAATCCTATTGTTGAAAGAACTATCCGGCTGACATTCACACAGGTTTCGAAGCGGCGTTCTATCGCGAGCTGAGCGTTCTCGCACCGCCACAGATGACTGCAGTGACGCGCTCCCCTACGGGCTCCTGGCTTGCGACAGCTACGTCGCGATCACGGGTGGCCAGCCCCCAACTGGAGGAGACCCAAGTCAACGGCAAGCCAGCTACTCCACCAATAACAAACGGACGTGCCTCGCGACAAGACAAGAAGCGTCTCAGTCTCGCCTTCCTTGCTAAAGAATTTCTGATGGGTGAACCCGAAAAAGAGAAGGAAAAGGACAAGGAGGCCAAAGGGGAAAATGGCAGGCCTCTGACGGATCACGATACCTCTGCAGCATCAATGCGCAGTCATAGCAAAGGCGACAGCAAACACCGGTTGAGCTTGAGCTTCCTCAACCCGGCGCCCAGCTCGCCCCAGCCCGAGGCTTTGCCATGTTACCCAAGCAAGCAGTTCAGCCCCTCGAGTCACAGTCAGAGCAGTTTTGGTGGTGACGCAAACCAGACCAGGCCAGAAACGGTGAAGAGCGCAAAGAGTGATAAGTCGATGTCATCACGGACAGGGAGCGTGAAGAAGAGGTTGAGTTTTATGAACATTTCGAAAAAAACGAGTAAGAGCAGCGTGAGGGGACGTGTTGATGATACCCTAATGGAGGAGTAATTGTTCCTTTGACTTTGGTTATTTCCTTGCACATGTCCTTTTTCTCAGCGCGGCATAGTTGTGCTGCATAATGCTTTTGATTTCCAAGTTTTGATGCTGTACAACACAACATACTCGGGGGATTTCCTTGGTACTTTTTTTGGATACTAGAAAGGAGAGAAGGGGTTGGGGGATTTGGCCGGCTGCACATATACTTGAGGCATGGAGAGCTGGGGGGTTCGGCTTTGGCTGGGCTGTGCGACGTGTGCGTGCGTGTGTGGGTGTATCATAGTTGACATGTTCTTTGGTTTTGTTGTTTATACCCAGGCTACCTTTTTTCTATCATTGGCACATTTAATTCAGATGGATACTTGGTCAATGTAGATAGTGTTATATACTCAGTCATATACCCCAGATTATGGTGTAACTTACGGTACATGCACAAAAAGCAAAAACATGTGGTCCCGCGATGTTTGTCAGATGGGATGGGAGTGGAGAACTCGGGAGATGGGAGAGAGAGGATGGGTCCAAGCGTTGTCGCTATCGATAAGGCGGCCAAAAAAGTTCGAGGCCGAAATTGAATGCGACGACGAAACAGAGTGCTACCACTCGCCTTTCACCCCCAACACCAACATGTCGCTTGAGGAGAGACTGACCAAGATTCGGGACAACCCGAAGCTGCAGGGCCAGCAACAGGTACTGGCATACGTTTTTCTTGTTCGCGACTGCCACTATACTTACTTTGCTAGACTCATGTGCTGCTCTCGGCCATTGAAGACACCCTCCGCCAGCAAAAGTCAGAAGTGACGCCGACAGCATACTTCGCTGCGCTGCTGTCACTCCTCCCCCGCCAGATCTCTGCGCAGGGCATCGCAAATAAGGACACGGCGACATCTACTATCTATCTTCTCGACCTCGTCACCCCCCACGTCCCCGCCCCGCTGCTGCGATCCAAGTTTACCGACATCCTCACTACGCTTGCCCCTGCCCTCACACACAGCGAAGCCGATGCGCCGCTGCTACGGTCATCGATTGGATGTCTAGAGTCGCTGTTGGTGGTGCAGGATGCGCGCGCTTGGGAGCTGCCACAGACGGAGATTAGCCCGCGGAGGGCTGTGGCCGGACTGCTCCAGATATCGGTCGATCACAGGCCAAAGGTGAGGAAGAGGGCGCAAGAGGCGCTTGCAAAGGTGCTGGCGAATCCACCACCAAGCCCTGCGTTGGACCACCCTGCAGCAGACATGTGCGCCGAGACTGCGCTGAAAATGCTGCACGAGATTGCCCAGGCAGTGGCCAAGTCGAAGAAGAAGGGCAACAAGGATGCGCAGAACAAAGATCCAGATCTGATACATGCACTGCAACTCATCAAGACGATTGCAACATCATCTGGTGGTTGGCCAAGCAGGAAGATTGATGTGCTCTGCGAGCTATTACTGAACATCTCAAAGTCGACCAATGAATTCCTGACCATGGCTGCCTTTGAGATTTTCGAGGTCATCTTTGCCGGTATGGCTGATGAACTTGCGTCTGCGAAGCTGCCCCGTCTGCTCGAGGTCATCTCGGAGCTTCAGCCCTCGAAAAATGATTCACAACTACTTCCTCCCTGGATTGCTGTCATTTCGCGAGGTTACGAAGTCTCTGCCCAAATAGAGCCCGAAGATTCCTTTGTGAAGCTGCCAGAGCTCTTCACCGTGATGTCCGGCTTTTTGACATCGTCCTCGCACAACATCCGCATCTCCGCTTCTGAATGCCTCATTTCTTTCCTTGCAAACCTGATACCCGACAGCGTCATTCTCGAGCCCTCAGTGTATGATGAAAAGATTCTGGAGAAGGTGGCAAAGATTGCACAAGACTTGTTGAGCGTCAAATATCAGGCTGCGTGGATGGAGGTCTTCAGCATGCTGTCTGCTATGTTTGAGACGCTCAGATGGCGTTCAGATCCGCTTCTCCGGTCCGTGTTGAGGACAGTGGGCGAGCTTCGAAGCAACGAGAGCTTTGCAGGCAAGAAGGAGGCTGATGCTGTCATCTCAAGAGCTATCAGTGCAATGGGTCCGGATGTCGTCTTGGAAATTCTGCCGTTGAATCTTCCACGGCCGCCACCTGGACAGACTGGACGAGTATGGATGCTACCATTGCTTCGCGATTCCGTACACAACACCAAATTGGCACACTTCAAGACTGTAATGGTACCACTCAGTGAGGAATTGTATCAAAGAGTCATCGATCATGGCGAGCGGGAGAAGACTATGGAAGTGAAGGTGTTTGAGACTGTCGTGCAGCAAATTTGGTCGATCCTTCCTGGGTACTGCGACTTGCCGCTCGACTTGATCGAAGCTCTCGACCAGGGGTTCTGTGAGCAAATCGCCAACTTGTTATATGGACAGGCCGAACTTCGAACAGATATCTGCCGCGCTCTCCAAAATCTAGTGGACAGCAACAAAGCTATCATTGAGCTGGAATCGGACGATGATCTCCTTGCGCAAGCTCGCATTTCCAAGGCTGGAGCGAAGCAGAACCTAGAACATTTGGCTGGGTTCGCGAGCAACATGCTTGCAGTCCTGTTCAATGTGTACAGCCAGACGCTTCCTCAGTATCGAGGTACTATTCTTCGAACTATCAACGCTTACTTAAGTATTGTCCCTGAGAAAGTGAGTTGTTATTGAAAGTATCAATTGCGCGCGTCTAATATCATTAGGAACTCATGGAGACGTTCGAGCGCGTCGCAGCGAATCTTGAAGCATCGCTCCCGGAGACTGGTTCGCAGAGGCAAGCAGACAAGCAAAAGATGGGCAAAGATCAAACCAAGATGCCACCGATGAGTCACACACTCATGGACCTGATCATTACGATTGCTCTTTACCTCCCCCGAGACAGCTACCGCTCGCTCTTCCGCATGGCTGAGATCATGATCAACAAGGATAATGACCCACAGTTGCAGAAGAAGGCATACAAGCTCATTCCTCGACTTGCGGAGTCTGAAATGGGCAAATCAGCTCTAAAAGACCGCAACGGCGAGCTGCAGATACTGCTCCTGAACAGTGCGGAAAAAGCCTCGGCTCCTGCCCGGAGAGATCGTTTGAATGCAATCCTGCAGGTTATCGAGTTCTTACCAAAAGACGACTTGCACTTCATTCCCTCTGTTCTTTCCGAAGTTGTCATCTCGGCAAAAGAGACGAATGAGAAAGCGCGAGAGGCTGCATACAACCTTCTTGTTGCCATGGGTGAGAAGATGGCAGAAGGTGGTCAAGTGGTCCAGACCAAGGTTCCCAACATGCCTGCAGATGCGCCAACGGTAGAGGCTTCTCTTGAGGAGTACTTCACCATGGTGTCAGCCGGTCTCGCCGCATCAACACCCCACATGATTTCCGCCTCCATCACCGCCGTAACTCGTATCCTCTTCCAGTTCCACACACGCATCTCCCCCGAGACCATTGCCAATCTCTGCGATCTCATGGACATATTCCTCCAAAACCCCAATCGAGAGATCGTGCAGAGTGTGCTGGGCTTCGTCAAGGTTGAAGTCATCTCTCTTCCTGAATCTCTTATCCGCCCTCGCCTGAACACCCTTCTCACCAACCTCATGGTTTGGAGTCACGAGCACAAGGCGCACTTCAAAGCCAAAGTCAAGCACATTGTTGAGCGCATGGTGCGCAAATTTGGTGTTGAAGCCGTTGAACGCGCCTGCCCCGCTGAAGATCGCAAACTCATTGCCAATATCCGCAAAACACGCGAGCAGCGCAAGAAGAAGAAGCAACAGGCCGAGGAAGACGGCGAGACGCCTGCTGCAGAAAAGCCAAAGGGCAAATTTGAGAGTGAATACGATCAAGCCGTCTATGGTAGCGAGAGCGAGGAGAGTGAGGCTGGCGATTCAGAGGAAGAGTTTATCAAGAGTCAGACGAAACAGCAACGGGGTGGTGCGAAGAGCGGGAAAACATATATCATTGAAGACGAGGATGAACCGCTCGATCTGCTCTCCAAGCGCGCCCTTGGAAACATATCCTCCACCAAACCCCTCCGCCAACGCAAGGCACCGACCAAGATGAAGGCACGCACCAATGAAGACGGCAAACTCGTCCTCGGCGACTCGGACGACGAAACTGGCGCGGTCAAGATTAAGAAGACCAAGGCAGCCGACGACGAAGACGTCCTCATGGACATTGACGACAACGCCACCTCCCTCGAAGCCGGTATCAACGCCTACGTCGACGCCATCCGTGGCCGCGACGCCGCCCAGCGTGGCCAAAAGGGCAAACTCAAGTTCAGCAACAAAAAGACAAAGGACGACGAGGAAATGGATATGGAAGATGATGGGGCCGAAGCCGGATGGCAGGACATTCGCAAGGCGAAGAGTGGACACGGAGGGGGAGCGCAGAGTCAGCGCAAGGGACTTGGGCAGGAGAGAACGAGGGGGGGCAATATTGCTGGTGGGAGAGGCGGTGGGTTTAGAGGTGGGAGGGGTGCTAGTGGGAGAGTGGAAAAGCCGAAGAGTCCGCGGGCGGGTGGGGGTGCTGGACGGGGTGGGAGAGGAGGGTTTGGAGGACGAGGGAGAGGGGGTTGGAGTGGGCCGAAGTGAGAGACTATGCATACCCCCCTATATCGAGGGCGAACGATCTTTGCGTTTTCCTAACATCGTGACTGGCTAGATAGACATGACCAAAATCAAGAGTTAAGAACCACGTTCATAATTCCCGCCATCCTCACAATCTCATCCCCCCACCCCCACGACCCGCTACTCCTCCAAATCCTTAACCATATGCCTAATCCTCACCCCCTCCCCATTCCCACACCTCACCACATCCTCCCTCCCACTCGCCCTATACCCACACCTCTCATACAACCCCACCCCACTCAACGTCGCCCCCATCTCCAGCCGCCTAAACCCATCCACCACGCCGCTGACCCCCTCCCGCGCCCGCGCCTCACAATACCGCAGCATCATCGTGCCCAGGCCGCGCCGCGCCCACGCTGGATGCGTGAAGATGGCTCGGATGCTGGCGCGGTCGGTGGAGGGGTTGCGTAGGGCGGGGAGGCGGAGTGGTGGGGGCGCTGTGTCGGCGCCGTAGAGGGTGTGTCGGTAGGACCAGCCGCTTGAGCAGCAGATTGTTGAGGGGGTGGAGAGGGGGTGGAGGATGTAGTATGTTCTGTTGGGTGAGGGGTACGGGTTAGTTTGTTGGAGATGGGATGGGATATTGGGGGGTTTTTTTAAGGGGGGTGGGGGAATTGAATATGTATACATGTATACATACATATATGCATCCACCGAATCCACCCCCCCCCAACACCCCCAAAGAAAAAAACACCAATTGTCAAACGTACCCATCGCCAATCAACACCGAGTCCGGTCCAAAGAGAGAGCCAATCGAGCCATCGAGTTCCGCTTCCGTATAGTACCCTTTCCCCAGCGCCCGCAGCGATTCCGCAATCATTTGTTGCAGCGCGGGAATGTCGTCCCGGGTCGCGGGGCGAATGGCGAATTGCTGGGTTGCTTCTTGGGCTTTTGCGCTAGTGATAGGGTCAGGGGCTGGGTCGGTCATGTTGGAGGACGTTGGGGAGTTGGGGGAGGCGGTTGGGATCGGGGTTTTCGAGATCTTGAGATGCTGGGGATTGAGTTTGCAAATTCTACAGTAGGCAGACGAGTGCGGGGAATCTGATATGTTTCAAAGTCGCAGTGTTTTTTTAAGCCCATGTCTGCTTGTTTGTACAGTGGAGGTTCGGCATGCGGGTTAAGCCGCTATCATGAGTCGTGAGGGGGAATTGCTTGCGGCTTTCCGACGGGAAGCGCATCTTGGTCGACATGGGTGATTGGGCGAAGGGGAGGGAGCCAATGTGGTGGGGGACATTTCTGCGCTTGCGACTTGGTGATGAAGTGGATTGATGTTATTCGTGTTAGGAGATCTTGGAGGGGATTTGGGCTGGGGGGATGTACGGTATGTTCGGCGGCTACCGGACCGGTACCACGTGCGCCGCGTGTGACGGCAGTTGCGGAGGGGTTGGCGCCGCTTTGGCCATGTTCATGTTGTCCCCTGTGTAGAGTAGAGCCAGGTTGTCGTTCTTTACATTGCTCTGTCTTCTGACTATGTACACCCCCTGTGTTTCTTTGACTATTGATTTGTTTCCAGTTTCACTGCAGAATAAGTGGTACCGTACCGGTAGTACGTTACTAGGTATTCAAGCGAGGCTCATCGTATTCCTGGAATACCTCCCACATTATGCCAAGTAAGCTGTCAAACTACCGATCGAAGAAAAGATTGATCAACCTTCCATGTCCGTATTTCGTTACCGCATGGACAAGGTATTGCTTCTTGCGGCAATGGCTCATTCTGAAACTACCTACGGCGTCAAGTGATCGGAACTCCACCTCACACGGCGACCAACACACGATGATTACTAGAAGAACAATAGTGTGCTCTTCGTGATTCCCACAGAAAGAGAGCTAGCATATTCTGTCAGACGGGAGTAGGGCTATTGGTATACAGTCGAACAAATATGTCGAGTTCCATTCATCGGAGCAAGAGAAAAAGCATCGCTAGGGAGTTCATGTCCTGACTCGCTCAGTTTCTTTAAGCCATATCTTTCTGCATACTGATTCTGTTCATGTTTCCAAGTGACAGCGACATCCTCGGGGATTTTTCAACTTCCAACACAAATACCTGCGCCATTCACTGTACCGAGGCCCAATAGGTGGTGCCAGCAATAGTTTTTGGTAGATCCCCACGCTAGACTGTCGTCTGTTTCGACGTGCGCCACCATCTTGGAAGAACGAATGATCCGTTACATGGAAGTCCGTAGATCCCTGTCAGGGCTGATAGGTGCAACTGTGTACTGAGTCAAGGTATAGGAGGGAAGATCTGAGAGAATCCTATACCACAAGTGGACGTGCCTCCGTCCCGAGTCAATCGGCAGTCGATTACAGGGATGGATTTCACGCTTATCTACATAACCTGGACCATCTGTTCACAATAGTGGCAACGGCATCTCCAGGTACGAGAATCAATGAGAGTATGCCCAATTGGGTGCGAAGTGGCTTGAGTCGTCTCTCGGTTCTTTGTTTGAGGCCAGAGACAGCTCGATTATCTTCTCGACTGCGTGTTATGGTTGGATACCTTGGAAAGCCTCTAGTAATGCTGTTTGTTTCCAATAGTAGGCCATGTGTCGAAAGGGCTTGGCCTCACATGGGGAGGAGTTGCTTTTAAGGCTATAAGTATCCAGTGTCTCGGCTCTACACTGTCGGTACCAGCAACAGCAATTCACGGCTCTCTTTATCACTCATTACAGTCCACTCATAGGGGCCGGCATCTCATTTTTGTGTCCCATTTGTAGCCATTCGTTCCATACCCACTCCACGCTACCGCAATCATTGAAAGACCATCACAGCCAACATCACAATGTACACCAAATCCCTCCTTATTGCCGCTCTTGCTACTCTCGCAACTGCCAGTCCCCTCGAAGTTCGCCAATATGGTGGTGGTGGAACCATTTTGAAAGAGTTCAGCCAGGGCGGATGTCGAGAAATCCTATTTGCATGGGCACGTGGGTCAACTGAGTTAGGCAACATGGTAAGCCATATCAGACAGACAAACTCGAGGTGTACCTGACAGTACCAGGGTATGACTGTTGGTCTTCCCACTTCAAACGGATTAAAGCAAGCATTCGGCGCCACCAAAGTTGCCACCGAAGGCATCGACTACGCGGCGTCCATTGGCACCAATGGTCTACCTGGTGGCACCGACGCCAGGTCGAAGAATCTCATGAAAGACACCCTTACCGCCATGGCCTCGAAATGCCCAAACTCTGTCATTGTCACCGGCGGTTACAGTCAAGGCGCGGCCGTCAACCACCGCGCCATTGAAGAACTCCCCGCAGCTGTAAAGGAGCAAATCGCCGGCGTGATCCTCTACGGAGACACCCAGAAGCAGCAAGATAGAAACCAGATCCCAAACTTCCCGGCAAACAAAGTCAAGATCATCTGCCAGGTTGGCGATGCGGTGTGCAGGGGTACCTTGGCCGTTTTGCCAGCCCATTTGACCTATGGCTCTCGTGTCGGTGAGGGTGTTCAGTTTCTGACGGCGCAGATTCGTGCAGCTCAGGCTATCATCAGGGCGCGTAATGCGAAACGGGAGGCGGAGAAGGCGGTGGCGGGTGTTTTTGAAGAGGCTAAGAGGGCTGTGGATCTGGTTGTTTAGTTCATTTGCTTTTACCTTGTTTATAGCGTGGGGAATCATGATGTCTGGGTAGGCAAGCTGGAGTTTGGGTTTTACCCTTTTACTGTATACGCACGTTATTTTAATGAGACAGATCTGCAAGTAGCAAGCATTGTTACACCGGAAAAGGATGCAAAGAGATAAGCAACATCTCTAAATTCCCAGCTCTGGGAGTATTTCACATTCATATGCGCCACCCTGGAATGGCTGTTATCTAAATGAATTGTTCACAGTAGAGTCAGCATTCAGGTATGATGATACAGTCACACTATTGCGGTCCCTCACATGCCATGTCGACTCACAGATGACACATGGATAAATTGCAGCCACTGTCTACAACTTGCGCCAGGTTTCTATAAAAACAAGGAGTCCATCCCCCGATCCCAGCAAACCAAGTGAGCGAGACATTAATAGCCACAAAGCTGTTCACTTAAACTAATGCATTCTGTAGCGACCGAAACAAAGAACAAGAGCCTACTTCAAACTGGAAATCTGACAGCAAACATATCCACATCTTGCAACACTACAAAGACGAATCCGGGTATATGGGCCTGGAAGGATAGCCACAGGGAAGTATACTTGATCGAGACAATGACATGCAAAACATGTAAAAGGAGTCGGAAAGAGTGCGCTACTGTGTGGATCAAACATCCTGAGGGTGATATTCTAAATTCGGATCATGTCCCATATGTTGAACCTATTGCTGCATCAGACTCGACCGCTGGTCTAGCAGATCTTTGGCGTGGATGGTAGAGAGGAAATATTAGGATAATGTTGGGCGTGGTGGACTAAATGTCTATGATATGATATTTGGATGGTGTAGGTCGGGGACAGGTAGTGGACGAGGGAATTGAATAGTTGACACACTCCTTGGCCAGTCAATAGAAAAGACTTGAAACTGTAAATGGCTTGAGTTGATTCTTATATGTAACATATTTGACCGGAAATGTATCAAGGATCGTAATGATTAACGATAAAGTAAAGTTAGAGCAGTGGTATCACTTGATCATCACTTGTACACATTTAGCGCCAAACTTCATCATTGAAACAAAATAGCGGAATAACAGCCCGAGGCACGCCATGTATCATATGACCCGTGTTGCGATCTGTATTAACGTTGTACAACGCCTTTCAGTATTCACATGCTCTTCACCAGAATCGCCACCTCATGTCATGATTGTCGTAGTCATAGTCAAAATCCCACAAGGATAGCTATGACATTAAGTATGGATATAATTTCAGAAGAAGATGTGTCAATGAGCGCTTGTGACTCTTATGCGCAATAGTCACATACTAGAACAACGACTCACGCAACGAAGTAGTCATAATGCAGAGCATGTAAAAGCAGAGCTTATCACGTATGTAAAGATTTCTAGATCAGTACACACCCATCATTCACCGATCATCAACATCAGCAATTCGCCACTGACAGGCAAGTTCAAGCAGACGTAGATCCATTCAATCAAAAAGTTCACACATACATTACACGCAGCGCTATCCAGCCCGGTACTGTCAAACACCGACTTCACCACTTATTAACGCGCCTGTCGCGCAATGTCTGAAAAAATATATGGTTGGCTAGACTGCCACTCGAATCGCTACCGCTCGATAGAAATGACAAAATGCCCCATATGCAACAGGGCGGCAACATTGTGTGCTAAGTTCTGGTGTTTGGACAATCTCGTCACGGTAGAAAACCAGCACTATAAGTCAGGATATGAGCACTTGGAAGGCGAAGATTCCGAAGACGAGTACGAGTATGTTGAGAGCGTCCCGAGATAATGCAGATACATAGGACTGCCATTCAATCTCCCGTACATCTTGCGTGACCTACTGTGGCACTCACTAGAAGCCATGAATACATTTATGTTTCCCAACTAGACTCTATATAAACTGTTGCCATATTCCTATTGAAATCTAACAATACAGAAATAAACCTATACCAGATCCCAGATAAATTTCTGGTCATCATAAATGCTATGTAAATTTTCCCACCCTGATTTTCCTAAGCCCTTTCCTCACTAACCTACCCACCACACCCCTAACCCCACCCTTCTTCTCCTTCACTGGCACATCATTGTCCTCCACATCCCCAAAGACCTCCGCCTGTACCGCCATCTCCGTACTCCGCGCTCTCAGATTCGGATAGTAAGCAAAATCCCGCTCAGCAATAAATGGCAACTCCAACCCCAGCCCCCTCGGCTCCATCCATGCCGCATCACTCATAGCATTAGGTTCATAACCCAAACCATAGCCTTCGATATCTTCAGAATAAAAATCCATATCATCGGGCAGAATCTCGTTGAGCTGCTGCGTTGTGTACGCTGCGTTCGTCTCGATACACGTCGAAGCAGTGGAAAAGCTCGAGTACCATGACAGTCGAGGAAGCGCTGTGCTGGGGCTGTATAGGGAAAGAAGATTGGTGCGTGGGGTGGGGTATGCGCCGCCGAAGTCTGAGGGTGTGGTGGGTGTGCTGCTAGTGTGTTTAGAGAGGAGTGGTGAGTCGCTTGATTCGGAGAGGAGGGAGGGGCTGAGGAGGAATGTTGGGGGATATGTCTGGGAGGGAGTTTCTGGGGATGGGGGTGGTGATGGGCTGTCTAGGAAGGTGGGGAAGCGTGGTTGTAATGGAGTGGTTTCGGCGATGCAAGAGGATTTTGGGGGGAGGGTTGAGGAAGATGTTGGAAGAAGGGGGGAATCGATGTGGATTGCAGTTGAGTTCTTTTGGGACATGGCTTATGAGTTGGGATTTTGATGTTGGTGTTGGGAACTGAGGTCGCGATGTGCTAGAGAACGGATTAAGTGGTGTTGTTAGACTGATGGATTGAGGATATGGACGCAGCGGCAGCTGGATATATCGATTGCAGCATTGTGAACAGAATTACCACAACGCGACAGAATCGAAAGTATTTTTCTTAAAGCTGCTGCGCAGTGTTGAGCGGGGCTGACAATGGCACACTAACATTGTGCATTGTACCGTAGTGGCGTCCGTCCACAACAAGTCACAAAGAAACCATCTCGACTCCACTTAACACTACAAAGACAGCGACCTCCAAATCGCACGCTTTTCAAAGAAACGCTTCTTCAAAGAAAAAAGAGGAGGAAACTCCTGATTCCTTACGACAACGCCGGCCCCCTTTCCCCTCATGCAAATGCCGCACACATACCGACCCCACGCCGCCTCTCGGGATTAAAACGGCGTTCACAGGTCTCCACAGTACTATGCACGAAGCAGCCATACTATATCGTAAGCACGTCGTCGCAACCGGGAAAATTAATGGCGTAAAAACATTGCCCATTCCCGTAAGTTGTTGCTTAACCGAAACGCGAGAACGGGTCCCTCGTAAGCAGGGGAGGGGCTGGTAGGTGTGTTCACTGACAAGGGGGAAGTGATGCTGGTTGTGCATATGCAGTTGAATTGTAGCTGGGGAAATGGTGTTGGTTGGTGGTTGGGGAGGAGAAGGGGAATATGTCGTAGCTGAGCTGGTCACAATAGATGTTGGCATGTACCGTACCGGTAGGTACCGGTACCGGTACGGTACTGGCGCGGAGAGGAAGACACCAATGCTTATACATTTCCCGCATGCTTGCTGCAATTGTATTATCAAAACTAATGGATTGCACTACCATTATTCAGTATCCGTCAAAAAAACTACTGTTAGAATCCTAGATCCCTACGACACACGGCTTTGATACTGCCGACGCCGTGTCTAAAGATCAGCTCGTGCGTCGTCCTCCCTCGGCGTGGTCTGAACTCCAGATATCCCATGGAGCATAAATCCGGAATGAAAAAACGAGCTCGTACCAACTGTCAAGTTAAGCATACTGCGGCTGAATGAGCACGATGTCTAACGCAAGTCCAACTATGGCGAAATGACATGAAGGAACACATTTAAGCAATGTAAATGTCAGGACATGTCTTGAGTTTCCTGCTACTTACTTTGGTTACAAGTATATCAATACGAAAACTATATTTCTACTGGCACTTTCCCGCATGGTTTTTGAATGATGAATTCTAAGAAGGCAACTTTGATTCAGGCGAAGTTAAGATTCGCCATGAGGCTATGATGGCGCACATCTTATACAGGGTCGCCGGCCAGTGCGTACCCTAATTGAGAGACATCCAATCGAAATAAGCGACCAGCCCCGCTGACACATCTCGAGATGCTCAAGGAACATACACAGTACTTTGTTACACAGAAAAACATCAGGCTGAGCCTTTGGCAGCTATCACGTGTATGTCGCTGGGTTCGGACGTGCCACACTGATAAGTGTTGAGCTAGGGTTGCGGGGCGGGGTAGCAACTTACCTTCTTTCACTCTCCTATTCAAGACCATCGCGGCGACGAAACGTCTCAAGTCTCACCCTTATCCTGTACATGCGTATCCATATCAGCATGCAAGTATATTACTAATTAGAGGCTGATTCTGTATGGTATCTGACAAAACTCAAGGTGCGAATTCCACACGACTATCAAAGTTACATCTGATACTAGAGCCCCAGGTGGAACTCGCATACAGAGACTCAGAGAGAAGAAAGATTGTCAACGCACAAATTGTAAATATTCGGATAGTTACATCCCACCAACGAGTCCCCCTGCAGCTGCCTCGTCTTAGGCAAACGATACACGCGATAGCCGAAGAGATTCATGTGGAAATGGGCAAACTAGACTCGCAGGTCCCCTGTTCCGTCTCTGGATTTCTTGTAGCTCTCGTTAGCTTTTGAAGCCATACTTGTATCTTTTCCAGTGCAATTAGATCATGCTCATGAGCGGAAACTGTGAAGTCTTCGTCAATCCACCCCGGCGTCCCTGCTGTAATAAGTGATGTTCCAAATGGTTGGCATGAACCAAAGTCAATGATAACGGGGTTATCGTCATCGTCAAGCATAATGTTCATTGGCGTAAGATCATTGTGCGCTCGTCCAAGTGAATGAAGGTGGGAAACTGCAGACCTCAACTTGTGCATGCAGTTTTCAACCCCAAAGTTTTCTGCATCCTCCTCTAATCGATGCTGAAGCGTGATCGGGTGGCGATCTAAAACAAGGCCGACGATACAACCACGATTGACCAAGCAGCCATGATACTTGACGATATGCGGATGTGGGTTACGCAGAAGCAACTCCATCGTCTCAGCCTCATGTAACATGAGTTTCGGTAGCAGACGGGTACCTATAAAGTCTAGGTGTAGTTTTGGCCTTTTGATAAAGAACTTCTCGTCGATCGGAGTTGAAAATGCAGTGATGCTTGAGGGAGCCTTGGGGTACACATCCTCATCTGGGAGGTGCTGCAAACTCTCTCTGATGCTTTTCTGGTCTAATTCGCGCTTTCGAAGTTTTGACTGGCCAAAGTAAGCTACATCGTCATCGGTGATGTAGCCAAAAGACGAGTATAAGAAGATTGGATCGCCATTCTCATCATCTTCTTCAGAGAATGCTTCATAACGTGGGGAAAGGTCGCGAGCCGAGTAGACTGGCAAATCTTCATTGGCCATTGTTTCAAAATGCTTCCGCGTCGGTGTGAAAGGGATATCTTAGACGCAACATCGGAGCTTGGATGGATTGCGGATAATACTTTCGCCGGATCCGATGTCCATCAGCGAGAAGACCAGACCACTAAGCATCAGTTGACCTGCACTTCGCAGTCTAAAGGAGCCATCGCGTTCCACGACGTTGAACGCAAATTTGCAGAGCTAGTACGCCAACGCCCGGATGGATCGATCCTTGATCAAGCCTTGTGACTGCTTTCACCAGTGATGAGACACGTCGCTTTCAAGCCCACCAAACATGCGCCCGCCTCTTCGAAACGAGAGACCCTGCACGCGCCTGCTTGTACATATAGAGACTGTGTGGGCTAACAACTTCTCCTTTGCATTATCTATCCACACAAATGCATGTTCACGACAGCTTTACTGCGATGTCACCCAGGCATTATAATTCAGCATAATAGTGCACGGAATGACGACGAGCGGGCAGAGGCATAACACAACAGTCATTCATGACAAGCGCAACAGCAAGAATACCAAAGGCTCTGACATGCCTGGCAACCTTTAAAAATCACGTATTGCCTCACATTCCCATGTTTGTACTGCATACAGAAGTTGGAGCTTCTATTTGAATATTTGGTAGGACTAGTGTAGATATATCCATGTGTCGATGTGTACGTACATTACTGGTAATTCATAGGAAACACTCAAACCACACTACATTATCCAAATATAACCTCGGCGCGCAACAAACAGCAAATAATAACCTCACTTTATGCTTTGATAGAAAGGAACACACACTATGGCTAATCCACCAAACCCCTCCAAGAAGAACATAAAATCAGCACAGAAGAAACTCCACATGCAAAAAGAAAATAACCACCAACACAATACATTCACACTTCTATAAAAACAACCCAGCCCACCAGCAAAACCAAAACCCAACCAACCCCCTCACAAACCCCCATACTCCCGCCCAACCACCACCCACACATCCTCTCTCTCAGACTTCTCACCATCCCGCTCACCCATCCCATCCACCACTCTACCCCCAACATCTCCCAGTCCTCCATCCTCATCCTCATCCCCCTCAAAAACAGCCACCCAACTCCTTCGCCAAACTTCAACATCGCCCCCCAGCACACCACGCGCAGCCAGCACACAGCCAAACGACACAACCTCTGTCTGCACATGGGGCGAGACCGCATGCGTATTTGCGATGTGCGGGGCAGTTTTGCTGGAGATGTAAGGGGAGGGGAGGGGGTGAGGTGGGTGTTGGGGTGGTGATTGTGGTGATGGGGATGGCAATTGGGTTGGCGGTGATGACAACAGTGTACGCCTAACACGACGCAACCCACGAAACGCATGAACGCGAGCACCACCGCACACATATCCAGCATGCAAGGCCAGACTAGGGGGGAGGTCGGGGTAAGCAGAGTGTGGTGCGGCGAAGAGGGTTCCTGATGCTGTGCGGGAGAGGAGTTGGGGGTGGTGAGTGTTGGTGTTGAGGATGGTGGCGGGGACGATGGGAAAGTGTGGTTGGGGGATGGGGTTGGGAGAGAGGGAGGGGGAGACGCGGTATGGGTAGATGGATGGGGAGGGCTTATTGGAGTTGGGGGATGGGGTGTGAGACATTATTTTAGTGGTGATTGAAGATAGGAATCTATGTGTTGCTTGGGTAGATGGGAGGGGATGGTTTGATGTTGTTAATGTTGGGCTTGGGTGCTGCGGGAGTGAAACCTGCGCTTGTTGAGATGAGGAAAATATGGGAAGCTCTGAGACTTATATGGGGCCGTGTGTATGCATTGTAGGCTCATAATAGAGGTTGCAGGGTACACAATGGGTAACAAACGACAGTGAGCCAATGTAATCCGAAAAAAAAGCAGTCTATCCCACGCTATGCAACAGACTGAACTAAACGTAGCAGCTTGACTAGTGTCCTCTTCATGCTGTAGGTGGTAAGAAGGCCAGTGGTGAACGCCAGATACAAGAAATATGGGCCGTCTAGGCAAGTTGCAAGACGCTGGTAGATTTTACAAAATGGTTTCCACTTTTGTTTCATGCTTCAGCGCCGGCTCTTGAGGCCCGCTCGTGCGGCTGTCGAACGTCTGGCAGGTTTTGGCTCCTCCTCGCTCTCGGATAAGCCTTCTCCTTCGTCTAGGTCGTCGCTCATAGGCTCAGACATGCCATCGCCAAGGTCATCATCAGTCTCCTCGGCCTCATCATCCACAAGGTTATCAGAATCCTCGCTTCCTTCCTCGGAATCCTCATCGACCTCCATTGTTGTGGGCATTTCGTCCATGGAGCTCTCATCGTCATCGTCATCGTCATCGTCGTCGAGATCCTTCTTCAGCCTCTTGCTTAGACCAGACGGTGCCTTGTCACCATCCACCGAGACCTCGTCCCCTTCCGCAGAAGAAGCATAGTCATCCTCTCCTTCGACATAAATGACAGCCTCCTCCTCGTCATCGTTGATTCTTTGATTTCGTCTCCTCAGGTCGAGCTGGGCTTGCAGCATGTCCAAGCGTCCCTTGAGCGACAAAAGAGGCTGCAGACCATTGGCACGCTCCTTCAAGACTTTGTTGAGCGTTGCGAGCTGCTTCACGAGCTGTGGCTGACTTGCCAAATATCCACCATGTGCAGCCAAAGACCACTGTACCCAAACCATGAGCATACCAGCTCGGCCAGGCTTCTTGTGTAGACGCTCTGCGAGTTTTTGCAGGAGCGTTCCGACGAGAGGCGATGGTAGACGCTCAACTGTGGCATAGATGGTATCGACGTCAATCACCCTCAGACAGGATTCGAGGAGCTCGGAGTCATTGGTCCGTAGCGCCTGGGTGAGGACAGTTCCGAGCGAGGAGGCGTTGGGTGCAGCCAGTGGGCGGCTGTTGGTCGCTCTCGTCAGCGTCCTCGATTCGGCGCGCTCATCAAAGGCCGACTCGACGTCCACGATGCGAGACTCTTGCACCGGCTCTGGGTCCTGTGCGCGCAACCGGTCGCCGAACGAGAGCTCTTCATCGTCCACTGTACCATCTTGTGCGACATGGACGTCTCCGTTGATGGCAGGCGCAGCATCGTCTTTTTGAGCGCCCGCTTCAGCAACGTCATCGTCATCACCAGCAGCGTCATCGCCGCTACTTTCTTCCTCACCACTGCTGATTTCAATTGTCTCCTTCTCCACATCGGCCATGTCGACATCCCCAGGACTAGCTTGACCTCGGCCGACTACTGCAGAGGCATCGTCGACTTTGTCTCTCCGCGTATTCTTCACGCCATTGATCTTGGCTGTTGGCTTCTGAGCGGTGCCGTTGACGAGTGCTTTGAGCCCATTCTGGCGAGTGTTGGCGGGTGATTGGGCGAGCTTTGCCTTCTTTGCGGGGGGAGCGCTGTCGCGGGCTCTGGGGCTTTTGGCCGCCCGGGCGCGCGAGGCAACGGCGGCGGGCATGATAAGTGAAGGAAGGTGTTTTGGGGAAGCGCAGGCAGTCGTTCACAGCGAGCGTGTGACGGGCAGGGTGTTTGGATGTTCAAACGGGGTTGCGGTTGCCTTTTGCGCCCGGCAGCAGTTTCAGTTTCGCAGTTGGCCAGAATTTCGGTGGTGGTTGCAAAAAAATCCAACCTAGACGGGCGACTATCCCAGTCTCGTGGGCCCGTGCACGACAAGGATCTTCGCTAACGTACCACCAGAGGTACCACAGGTCGTCGCTGCCTGACAAGACAGACAGTTTTGTTTACGCTGTTCATGGGCTCCTTCCCCTTTGCACGCACTATGTCACCACTGGCTGGGAAGGAAGGGGTATCCCCCACACGTACCGGTATCCCAATATCCGTTTACAATACCGTACGGTAACGTGTCACAAAAAGCCACGATACTCTGCTGTCCACCCCTTCTTATCCCGTAAGTCCCACACACACGCGCCCTACACACACCCCACACCCTTTCTCACCCTGCATCTCTCTGCGACCCCATATACTACACACAACCTCTCCCTCCTCCCCACACAAGGGGTCATATGTACCCCCACTGTGCAACCCCCCCTATCGTCTCGAGCTGAGAAGAGCATATCCCCCTAAATCCCAGCGCGCCCGCAAAACATTTTC